TACGTATTGAAATTGAGGTGATCGAGGCGCCAATCATGTGTTATGCGAGGGCGGCTCAATTGCAATATGCCTTTGTTAGAATGGCGGCTATTGTAGCTGGGTGGGCCCGAATGTATCTGTAGAATGATTCTGAACTCCACCTGTCAATCTTTTGGATTAGAATTAGCTGAACTCCACGCATGACCAGTTCAGTTGTGCCACCGGCTCTGAAGCTGTGGCCTGCGACATCTTCTGTTGGTAAAAGATGCTTTAGTTTGTTGATGAAGAAGCATTTCATTGCCCATGACCCATCCGCCTTGATAAACAGTAGTTCACTTCTGTGTGTGAGTGCAGGATTTGTTCTCTGAACGATATAGGCTTTTAGAGTGTCTATCAGGCACAAGTCATCGTATGTTGGGTTGATGATAAGGGAGGTGCGTACAGCTGTGTTATGGTTCTTGGTTCGTGCTAATTGGATGGTGGCAAAGGTGTGGTGGCCCGCCTTTTCAAATCTTAATGCATGGAGGTTTGGTACTTTGTGTTTGTCCCGCTGTGTTGCTGGAAGGAGTTCACCCAGGCGGGCTAGACCATAGAATGCTGTCAGTGCTATTGCCCAGAATAGTTTGTCATCTGGGTTGCTAAGATTCAGGTTTGTTTTCAGTGAGTGTAGGTGGTGCCTTGTGATATGTGATTTTTGTTTGACAGGTTTGTGGATGTGGTTTTTGTCAATAGTTTTTAGTAGTTGACTGATTAATGGATCATTGCGAGTTTCGTGCCAGTCGAAATGGTTAATTATATGATGATGTTTTAATGCTGATAGGTAGGATAATATTGTTGAGAGTGCAACCCTATTATGCATGTGAGTAATAAACTTGATCAGGTGCTCTTTGGAGATAGGCCATATGCCTTCCTGTGTGTTGGTCCATTTGTTTTCAATTGCTAGTGTTGTATATTGTTTGATTACATACTTGTATGTTCAATTCGTTTCCATGTTCAGGCCTAGTATTGATGCAGCCTGCTGATTCAGTGGTAGAGTGGTGTGTGCTTGTACGTTTGCAGTATCATGGGGAAAAATATGGCTTTCTATTGGGTTAGTGATGGAATCATAGAAATTAGGTTAGAATATTTTGATGGAATAAATGGTTGTAAATAGCGTGCAGTTGAATGTTGACTCAGAAATTCTCTGTGCCCATTTCGTGAAAGAAGATCTGCTGTTGAGTTTGCTTTGCCAGAAATATGCTCTAGCTTGATAGAGAAGTTTCCACATATTTGTGCTTGATATATTTGTGCGATAATGTTATTGATTTCTGCTTGTCTGCAGAAGCCATTGTATACTGCCTCGATGTTGGCCTGGTTATCTGTCCAGATAATGAAGTGTTTCTGAGTCCATATAGGTGAAAAGGTTAGTATAGCGATAAGTGTAGTTAGAAGCTCTCTCTTCTGTATGCTATGTTGAGACAGGTCTAAATCCTGAGACCAGTTAAATGTTGTAAAGTATGATATGAATGTGGCACCACCTCCAAGGTTCGAGGCATCAGTAAATAGGTTTTGTGTTGTGGGACTTAGCCATGCTTGATCCTCTATGAGATATGTACCTGACCAGTCAGGAATTGTAGTCTTCCACCACATAATGTCTGATTTTATAGAAGCATTAATTTTTATATGGTGCTTAGAATGTTGTGCTGTATTGAGTGCCCTAATGAACCATTGCATAAATGGTTGTCCCTGTGGAACAACCTAACAAGTCCACATTAATGAGCCAATTAGAGACTGGAGTTTTTTTTAAGACACCACTGTTTGTTTGACCATTGTTCTAATATGCTGATCAATTTTTGTTTTTTGGCTGATGGGATTGTGGCTAAGAATGTTTGTGTGTTAAGCTGTATACCAAGAAATGTTACTGTAGTACTAGAACCTTTCAGCTTGGATGGTTTATGAGAAATATTCAAAGTATTAAGTATGTGAAGAAACTGGTCCAGTTCTTGCTATGCACCTACTCCTAATATAATGAGAAAATCATCCACATAATGAATAATTGATTGTATGCCTTATTGAGTTGCCATCCATGCAGTATGTCTGTAAATCTACAAAATATTCCTCCAGATGCTTGATTACCAAAGGCCAAAGCCTTATCAAAGTATAATTGGCCCTGATAGCCTATTCCTTGTAATACTTGATCAACAGAATGTACAGGAAGAATTCTATAAGCATCTTTAATGTCAATTTTTGATAACAGACAACCTTTACCATAAAATATAATCCAGTGAATCACATGACTGATATTTTCATATTGTGTAGTAAACTCCATCTTGTTGATTCCATCATTAATGCTTGCACCAAATAGGACTGAGAGTAGGGTTGTTAATGGAGTAGCTTGCTCCAGAGCACTCCGGAGTAGAACCCAACCCAAGTTGGAGTGGGTTTAAATTTTTATTTTTAAGTTTGGAGCAACCTGGAGCAACCCGGAGTAGCTATGGAGCAACCCGGAGCAAAATGCTGGAGTAAGTCTAATTTACTGGAGTGGGTTAAGAATTGGATCAACCCAACCCAACCCAACCCAACCCATTAACAACCCTAACTGAGAGGTGTGATATCACATGATATGTCTTGGGGTTTGTGTTTTTTTTCTCTACAAGACCACAAGAGTTTACTTGAAAGGTCTGACAAGACAGATGGTATGCTAAAAATGGACCACATATTTGACCTTGTGTTATCTCCTCTTCTATATATTTGGTAAATGATTGAGGGTCTATTTCTATTGATTTTAAATTTTCCTAAATTACTGTAGTTCTTTGATCCATAAAGTTTAACTTAAAGCCATTTTTGAGGCTGTTTAGTAAGTATGAGATAAATGGATAATTGGAATGATTGATTGTCAAACATTTAAATGTTTCTATATTGATTGGTGTAATGATGTTAAAGAATTTAGAATCTAGTTGTCTGAGAATTTCATACTCAGTAGGAGTTAGAGGTATATCATATAGTGAAATTGTAACTAATGTGTTATTAACTGACTAAAGAGTGGGTAGTTTGTTAATTGTAATGTTGTGTGTGTTTTTATATTGTGCTGGATATTTGATATATAGTCTTGTATTTGGAATATTGAGATTAATTAGTTAACTAGTTTATTATCGACCAGATAAATATAAGTAATTCCATTGTTATAATATGTGAGCCTGATGCAAATACAATTAACCTATTAATTGACTGTCAATAGTAACAGCCCCCTGCATGCTTTATGTTATCTTTTTTATTATTATTATTATTATTATTATATTAGCATTATGATTATTATTATTGCTATTATTATTACTATTATTATTATTATTATTATTATTATTATTATTATTATTATTACTATTATTCCCATTGTTGTGAGCAGTACTACTGTTACACATTTTTTTCTGTCTTTTTATTTTCAGCTAAACTGATCTTTGTTAGACTTTTTTATCTAAAACATTACTGCTCACTGTAATTTGTTTTCTTGCAAATTAGATAGGCATGAACCCTTCCACATATTTTGTCATCTGTGCAGTGTCACTTGTTCTAGTTAATGCATATCTCTCTATCATCAAACCATTCAGTGTCAAAACGTATTAACTGGTACGTGTTATGTCTTTGCCTTTTGATTGTGGTTGCATCAAAGTTTCTGCCTTTTACTTCTGTGTTATAATCACTAAGAGTTGTGTCCTGATTTGTAACTAGAGTTACTTTACGATCTTCATCATATGACATAATTGCATAAAAATTCTGTTTTAGGCAAAGCTCATTAACATGGTCCCTGTAGTTGTTTAGTTCTTGTTCTCTGTTCTTATAAATTATTAACACAGCATCCATATATAATTTGAAAGCAAGTAACTATTCTGAGATATCAGAAAATGTTGTATGACATGCTTAACATTTTATTGAAATATGACCTCCTTTTGTTGATTGTAAGACTGGTTCATCATCATTTTCCTTCATGCTAGCTAAGAGGTTTTTATATAAGAACTCTTGTAAATTTACATAAGAACCAAATGCAATTGCTTTCCAAAGCTTGGCTGAGATGTTGGGCTTGTATAACAATGTTTCGATGATCTGTTTGCCCTCTGACCAATTAGTGACCCACTAAATTCATATACTTTCTGTTCTTGCGGCATAAAGGTTTAAAAAATCTTGAATATCACAAATGCCTTTTAGCTTTGTGTAATTAAGAGACAGATATTTCCTTATAGGTGACTAGAACACTGACACTGCTGCAACTGATGTCAAAAGCTGGATTGATTTATTTGATTCTGATGTTGCCAACAGGCTCTGAGGTTGAAGACTTACTCTTGATGTCACTATAATGAGATTGTTTAGTACTAAAGTTGAAGAATAGTTACCTGTATTTTGTGTAACATGCTTCGCTGTATCTGTTGAATGGGGATCAGCTGTTCCTGTTAAGCTCTATTGTTGCAATAATACTGAACTGTTAGTTTTGTCTGGTCCATTTGACTGGCCATTGCTACTGTTGTCTGGTTGTGTCAACCTAGTAAGTGTATTATTCATGTTTAACTGAAACTGCTTATTCTATCAACTTTGTTTGTCAAATTGAGAGTTGATGTACTGTCTAAGGGAGCCAATAATTGATGTGGTCGATTCTCAGATTGATTTATCGATGTATGTCTTTAATTAGGGATCAATATGCATAACTGATCTTTGATGCCCAGGACCTGTTGCCATGCTGTTAGAGGATGATGTAACTGTGCTTGGTTGGAGAGACGTGTGATTCCTATTATCTGTGTCATGTGACTCAGAATTCATTTGCTTATACCAGATGACTCTCTTGTTATTTATTTATTTATTATTTATTTATTTTATTTTATTTTTTTTTATTTGTTTTTTATTTATTTGCTGTTTATTATTATTATTTTTTTTTATATGTTTGATCGAGAAATGCTGACTATATGTATTGGATGTTCGATGAGGGAAGAGTGTATAAATAGACTTTTTTTCTCTCAACCTTTATATAAGCTTTTCAGTAGCTTGAGTTACTTAGCATGTTTTAGTGATCTGGCATTGATTGCATCTCATATTAGTT